CTTATCTATCCAAGATGCTATCTAAAGTAGCCTCCTTTAGATTGCTTGAAAGTATAGAAGGCTTGTTGTATAGCTACTAAAACCCACTAGGTTGGAGCATCAAGATAGTTTGTTTTCTTAGTACCAAGGAAGATTGGAATGAAAATTGTAATGGTAATTCTAATACTATTAAATGACCAAAAAAATTATGTATTTTATTTTTAATTATGTTTTAAATTATAAAGAGATAAACATGTAAGAAAAAATAAATAAATAAATAAATAATTGATCTTAAGAGATGGAGATTATAATGGAACCAATAGCAGAAGAGCTTTGAGAGATAATCAAAGCATATGAGAATAAAAAAGGTTGTGCAGTACCAAGCTATTAAAGACTTGAAAGCAATTAGTTAAAGTTGGATATAGCTCTTGCCAAAGATTGAAGTAAAGATGTACCTCTAAATTATAACTCTACTTCTTGAACACATTGAGAATATCATCCATGCCAAATTGCATCTCAAACAAGTAATAGGTGGTTGATGTTGATGTTCACTATTTTTTGTGAATTATATTCTTTTTAATTTCATAAAACTTGTAAATATAATCATAGAAGTTAGATTTGTAATGCAGATGTTTTTAGATATTATTTGTGGTATTTTAAGTGATGTTTAAGCTAAAATGAATTAGAACTTTAATTCAACCTAGTCTTCTTTATGAATTTTTAATATTTCTATTTCAAGAATAGGAACTTGTACTAACCTTAAAATTATATATGAATTGAGGCTCTTGTATATGAATTATTTAAATTAATTAATTAGTGGCAATCATTATAGTTAGTAATTTTTTTAAAAAATGAGGTTTGTATGTACTTGATTTGTTGTATTGCATGTCAATTTAAGTTGTTTATGATTGTTAGATTTTTTTGTTTTTTTCTTGAGCAAACTTCTAGAGACAAATGAAGATGACTATCTAACAAATCTAATTTAAAGTTGTCATTTTTTTAAGATAAAGGATATTTTTTACTATAGCAATAATACTAAATAAATTGTTGGAATTGCAATGATAATGTTTTGAAAAAAATGCTATTGATATCTTTGTAAGTCCAAGTAATTTATAGATTATTGTCTTTTTAGACACATAAGTAAAATATATATCACTTATCTAAAGAATTAATTAGTCCTATCTAGGCATGCTTTATTTTGGCTGCACAAATTATTATTAAATCAAAATAGACCTTGAAAAAAAAGATTGGAGCTTCTTACAAATACAAAAACTAGATATGTATTCAAATATAGATATTAAGAAAAGTGCTCATCTTTTATATTGAAGAATTGATCAACTTCTACATTAATCTTATTCATCTTGGATTGCAATTGTGGTTTAAATTCTTTTGTGTAGTGTAATTGTAGCAAGATTCATAGCACTAGAAAATAATTTTTTTTGATGAAGCTTGGTTTTAGAATTAAGTTGGAAGGACTATGGACTGCAATTTTATACTACAACTTACAAAAGCCCTAATTATTGAAAATGATTAAATTAGAGCATTACAATTATTAATAAGTAGCTCTAGATTAGCAATTGCTATAAATCAATCTCAATTTGATGTAAGTTCTTTGTTGATATCTTGTCAATCAATGGCTTTTTGCTTAGTTATATAAAAGTTTTTTCATTAAAGCTCAAGATCTTAAAAATTTGTTAATTTAGTGAATAGTATTTTCTATTGCTAGATTTTACATTCAATTAATGTGATGATTGGAGCTTCTAGTTATAGAACAAAGTCTTATTTTATATAATCAGTTGTTTGACAAAATTCTAGAATATCTAATATATTTAATTATTTATATGATTTTTACTAATTTTAGATATGTATATTATTTCATGTTAATATTTTGTAAAGAAGAACTTTTAAATGTGGTTTTTACTTCAGTGAAGAGTTTTTTTGATTTTGTCAATCTAGTTTCTTGTGGCACAAAGTCCATACAATTTTTGTCTATTTTTAATAGATACTTTAGTATGTGTCAATGTCAATGATGTCTAATAAATAATTTAATTTCTTTAGTTATAAGTCTAATGTTCTTAGCTTCAAATTTTTGCTAGTTTTGATTTAATATTTTTTATTTTACTTATTTAGAAGTTTATTTACATAAATGCATTGAGTTATATAGCCTCGACATTTACTAGATTTTATAAAAATATTCGCATGCATATCTATGTATTTAGAAAGAATTTCTTTATATTTTTTTGCGTCAGGCGGGCATATGAATACAAGGAACTATTAGATTGTATTATTGATTTGGATACAATATTAAAACAATTGAGACATGTATTTGTATTGCAACAATAAGTAATTCATCTTTTTATTTATCAAGAGCTTCAAAACCTTCTTGACTTATTGATTAAAGAACTATAACTTAGAAGTACCTTGCCGTAATCGACTGTAAATTTACATTATTATTTTGGTTGCAAAAATTAAAGTTATAACTGTAACAGTATATGGTTAACTTATTGACCAAGTTTCTAACTTATTAATCAACTACAAACACATGTTAAGTCAAAGCAACATCTATGAAGCTTTTAGAAAGCTTTTCTAGAAAGTATTATGAAATTAATCTACTTTTATTTACTTTTATATACTTCTATCTAATCATATAGGTATTTATTAGAGTACATATGTATATTCGTGACAATATCTAAATAATAAGTCATTCTACATTACCAAGACTAATTTTACAAAGAGCTTTCTACTTCAACTTCACTTGTGTGAATTGATTTAATGTATCTTGTTGAATGGAGTCTATCATAACACACTTTTGGCAATCTTAGAACCAATTAAAAAAGAAATGTTGTGACTTGTGGCCCACATCCTCACAAAAGTAGAACGTCAAATTTCAAAGTCATCATTGTCATTATTAAGCATAAGGCAAAATTTATGGTGATGAAGATTTTTCATGAATAATTAAAAAAGTGAATATATGTATTTTTTTTTATAAAGATAGAAACATGCATACACAATTTTATCAACGTAACAACAATAAGCAAATCAAAATTCAATTTCAATTGACAAGCTCTCTATAGTCTTAGGTAGTCTAGTCAAGGCTGCCCGCCACAGTCTTGGGCTTGTGAGAAGGTCGAGAACAAATGATAAGCTACCTTATTGAGAATAATGACAAAGTATGGAGATAGAATGACATAGGACTAAATGAATCATTATATGATTTGAAAGGTGTGGCTTTAACAAAGTTGAAATGTGGCTTTAATAAATTCTTAATGTATATGTATATATTTCATTATAGTAATGTCAAAACATTATTAAAATCTTGACATAAAAAAATGATGTATATGCATATATATATATATATATATATCATGATTCTTATGTAAAAACATGGTCAATAAATTTTTTCTATTTTTGGAATATCACAAGGATCTTACTTGTGATTAATTAATATTTTCTTTGTTCTTGTTAATTGCTTTGAAGATTCAACCTAAATCTCCAACATCTAAAGATATTACACAAATTAAGTTTGTTGTTATTTTAGTTAGTTAAAGATAATATTAGAAGCACATTATTTACATTTTGGTCGTTAGTAAAGTAATAATCTAATAGAAGTCTATTAAGGAAATAGCCTTGGTGGTAGTTAATTTCCATGGGCAAGCTTTGAAGCAACTAAATAAACATGATAAGACCAATGACTTTAAATTTTTCTAAGAATAGCCACGTGAATTTTTGTATAAGACAGAAATTGCCTTTTACTTCCATTTTTCAATTAGAAGGGAGCTGACGTCTTAGTAAATTTGGACGATGCACTAAACATCGAATCACAGATTCATGCAACGATAACTTTTAATGAGGCGAAGTAAACGAAAGTTTTCATATTTTTGCAAGTTCAATCTAAAACTACGTCGAAGCCGTTATTCGCGAATTGTAGGAGGTACTTCAAAATTCTGCACTCATGAACTAATTTCAGTTTTAATTGAGTTCAATGAAGGGTAACGTCTCCGAGGGAAACCAATATTGAGTGGTGATTAAACCAAGCTTAGTGCTAGTAGTCGGTCATCAATGTGAAGCCGCCAAAGACAGCACAAGTGCTGGCTGCGGGTTTAAGTCAGCGGTACAATGGATTCGGCAACTTCTCATTTTTCAAAAACGGCTTCTTGTGTAAAGTGGGCGTTTCCTACGAAGCCAGTGTCAGCCAAACTTTAGGGAACCAGAACAGTGAAAGCCTGTACAAGCCCTTGTATTTTGTACTGTAGTGCGAAGAGGAATGGTGCTCATGAATGTCGTAGAATTACGACTTATTCATATATATATATATATATATTGTTTGTTTAGGGTCTATGAAATATTGAATGAATGTCAGAATGGAGTTTGAGTAAATATTAATCCTGTAAGAAACTTCAAGTGCTTTGATTGTGGCCAATATCTTTCCACTTGAAGTAATAAATATATAAATATAGTTAACACAGCTAACTTTTACAAACATCTAAAATCGTGCATGTACATGTATACACACAAACACACAATATTGACCTTCCTATTAGCATATTGACCTTTTTCTGTATATATTTATATTTTTGGTCAGAATGCTTCATTTTTTAAAATAAGATTTTACAATAATAGTATAAATTATAATGTGAATATTTATGTAACGGATGCTTTCAAACAATGGAAAAGTTCATAGTAGCTTGTAGCTTTCTGTAAAAATTACGTCCTTCCTTCAAAATTGATTTGCTTCAGTATCAAAATGTGCAATAGTTTAATTATTCCAAACATTGTAACTACTGTTAGAATTCTCTAAATAATTATTAGAATTCCCTAACTAATATATATTCTGCGTGTACCTCCAGTCTTTTAATAGAAACGAAGCTCACCACGCTCTGTTCCGCGAAAAGCTAGAACGAGAATATAAAAAAAGAATAAAGAGAGAAAAATAAGAAGAAGCGTGGCTATGTGCGCATGGTGGCTCTGTGATCGCGTCGCGTCACCATCCCCAGGACTGGCGCCAGCGAAGACGCGCGGACGCAGCAGGGAAGGGGTGGGGTTCGAATTTTGAAGAAAGAGAGGCTGGTGAGCGAGAGGGCAGTTAAGTTGGCGGTGGCGGGCCTTCTGATGTCACGTCTGCGCGGCTGGAGGCTCACGAATTCGGGCCATAGCCCACTCGCACCTGGCACACACTCCGTCGGCTTCGTAAATTTCTGTGCGTGTATCGTCATTTCGCAGCGACAGTGTTTGCAGAGTAACTCGTAGGGTTTTTTCTCTCTTAGTTAGTTAGTTTGCTAGTTTGTTTGTTTGTTTGTTAGTTTGTTTTTTGATTTTTGATTTATTTATTTTCCTTTCTCGTTTATCCTCGTTTATCTGTTCTTTCAGCTAGATCCACGCTGTCTTTCTTCCGCACGCAAATTCATTGCAAGACGGTGTGTTCTTGGATCCGTTTTGGTCTCTTTGAATCGATTCTTCGTGCTATGTGTTTCGAAACGTCGAGAAGCTCTTGTTTGAGTTGACATCGTTTGTGTTGATTGGAACTCGTATTTGTCTTCTGAACGCATTTCTTGCTTCGCGACTCTCGTTTCGCGCGCGCAGTGACTTAGTGGCATCAATGCTGGAGTTCGATTGCCCTGGTTCTTGAATTTCTCCTGTGATGGTCACTTGGAAGGAACGTATTCTTTGTCCCGTAGGTTGCAGCAAGGTATGCGCTTTGCTGATCTCGTGTTTGTTTTGACAGGTGGGAGTGATGTAGTTGACGTCATGGAAGTTGGACGTTAAGAGTGTGTAAATATTGTTTTGGTAGACTACAACTGAAATATCGCAAGCTCTAATGTACGGAATCGATGCTTCGAATTTAGATTTTGTTTTTGATTCTCGAGGTTTCTGATTTTACCTTCAGCGATTATCGATGAAGCTGCTTCTTGAGTGGCGGTCAGGCTGATTTTGGTGCCCATCATGCGGCGAGATTTGTGAACGTATACGATGGACGGTTCGGAGTCTCGTGATACTAGTGGTCGTCCACGACCACCTCCAGTTTCAGAGGGAGCTCCAGGGCATCCTAGGGTTGGAGCTAACCAAGTGCGGCCATCTCAACCCGGACCTAGTGGACAACATTTGCAGGGCCGTAGCGGAGGTAGTGACAGTGTTGCTTTGGCTCTACCTGTAGCGTGTGTCCCGAGTAAGACAACTAGACCAAGCTTTGGGAGAGCGGGACGGCTCACACAGTTGTGTGTGAATCACTTCAAGACCGAACTGGTGAAGTGGGACGACGTGTACCATTACAATGTGAGGTCCATTACATCATTTCTCTGCCAGCGATATGTGTTTTGAATTTCATTATCTTTATTGTCTCGCGTTTTACTGGTGTATGTTGCCGGCATTAAATGAGTGTGTTTTACTGTGCCTGTAGGTGTCGATGGAACCGGAAGTAACGAATAAGAAAATATGTCGTGATATCATGACGAAGCTCCGCGACACATTTGGGGAATCCGAATGCGGTGGTAAGCAAGGGGCTTACGATGGAGGAAAATCTTTGTTTACGAGTGGGAGTTTATCGTTCAACTCTAAGGAGTTTCCAGTGTTCCTGGATGACCGCAAAACTCCCTCTTTCAGACCTGGTGATCGGGGAGGAAAATTTGGAGATGATCCTTCTACACGCAGCCCAGGTAGAAAGCGATACTTGCATGCGTTAAGTTGTGTGCGATCTTCAGTTGTCGATCGACGTGCACTGGACGTTAATTATTCATCTCTGTAAGTTGCATCTTGACTTGTGTGTAGGTTTTCCTAGGGAAGAAGCCATCACGAAGAGGAGGAGGACTGCTGCGAGAGGGAGGGATTTCATTGTTAAGATTGAATTTGCTGGAAAGATTCGGATGAAAGCAATTCACGGGATACTAAAGAGAGTTATGGGTATGGGCGATCTAGAGCAGGAAGTGCGTGCAATAGATGCTCTACGTGTTCTAGATATAGTGCTTCGGGAGAGTGCTTCAAGAAGGTAAAGTATGCTATGACTCTTACCCGCAGATCTTCATCGGGATTCTCTGCTGCTCTTGGTATCACGTCTTTTTTGTCTACACTACGTAGCTTGGCCTTATATTCTTAATGTGCTTGTACAGAGGGTACCTTCTTGTGAGGGATAATTTCTTTCATCCGAGCTTGGGTCCGGTTGGCAACTTGGGAGAGGGAGTTGAGGCTTGGAGGGGTTATCACTCAAGTGTGAGGCCTACTGGGTTGGGCTTGACTTTGAATCTCGGTAAGTGGAGCTCATTCCTTCTCTCTCCCATTCTGAGCTATGGTATTTGTTGGGTGTTGTTGCGGAGTGCACTCGCATTCGCACCTTGCGCTTCATTTTATAATTGTTGTCGTCTTTAGTGAATTGGAGTCACTTGAGCAAGGCACTGACTGGTGCCTCCGATTGTGACAGACATGACTATGACAACGATGTTGAAGCCCATCCTTGTAGAGGAATTTCTGATGGAAAGGTTCAACGTAAGAGACCTGAATTGTTTGCAAGGCAGGGACTGGGTTAAAGCCAATAGCGTGTTGAAAGGAGTTAGGATCGAAACGATTCACATGGAAGTGTCTCGATCTCACAAGATTGCGGGGTTCAGTCCGCGGCCCATTAAAGACCTAAAGTGAGCTAAATTATTTTGCGAAATCACTTCTTCATCTGCAGTGATGACATGTTATCTATCTAACCTAGTTTCACAGTCCTTGTAGATTAGTCACCAGTTATGTTAATAATACAGTTTTGATGTTTTTGTAGATTCACTAAGAGGATCAAAGACGGCGAAGGTAATGCGCGAGAGGAGGAGATGTTAGTGGAGCAATACTACTTCGATGTGTACTCGTACACCCTTAAATACCCAGGTCTTCCAGCAATAGATGTTGGGAACAAGAAGAAGCCCACATTCTTGCCGTTAGAGGTATATTCTGGGTTTCTGTGCTTCGCTCTGGTTCATTTGGTTAACCTTTCTTTCAGATTTTGGTGATTGTCATATATACATATGTCGTATTCTCACGAGTCCCATTTTGCTTTTCTCAACTGCGGTGGTTCTGGTTCTTTTGACCGCAGTTGTGCAAGATAGTTGCGGGACAGCGTTACTCGAAGTCGCTGTCTAGCAGGCAGAGGACTGCCCAGATTGCTGCATGCAAGCAGGGACCGCAAGAGCGGCAAAGAATCTGTGAGAACGTGAGTAAAATAATAGAATCAGATCATTTATGTTTTATGTTTTTATTTCTTAGTTTTGAACTTAGCATGGTCTCTGATTTCTTTCGTGATTCATGTTCAGGCGATTACTGTGAGCAACTACAACTCTGACAGAATAATCTCAGAGTTCGGTCTTCGATTTGAGAACAAGCTCGCTTCCATCGAAGGCAGAATGCTACCTGCCCCTCAGGTATTGTTGTACACATTTCGCTCTGCTTTTTCACCTTAAATCAGTGACCGCGCTTTGCACCAGGATGCAACGTACAATTTACATTACTGATTAGCAATTTCTTGTGTGAGGACAGCTCGAATTCGGAAATGGGAAGACCGAGGAACCTAGAGAGGGGCGGTGGAATTTTAATAACAAGGTACTCTGGGTGCTCGTCTGAAGGGTTTGTAGTAGTACTATATGCGTAGTTTGCCTACTTTTAACATTGGATTCTTAAGTCGACTACATAAATTTCGCTGATCATCTGTGCGAATTCAGACCGTAAGGAAGGGAGTCAAAATAGACCCCTGGGCTGTCGCTGTGTTTGATCCCCGCTGCAATGACGGAGGTCGCATCGGAGATCAGCTGGTGGAGAGTTGCTGCAGACGTGGTATGATGATGCGAAGACCGGCTGTGGTGCAAAAAGAGTTGCCTGATGCATTGAACCGTTCACCCGAGCAGCGGGTGGAGTGGATGCTTATGTCACTTAAGAAGTATACGCCTGTATTCATTCTGGTCATACTATCAGACAAAGACAGCCCAATTTACGGTAACTTGATCCTTTCCTGGTCTTTTACTGAATAGTGTAACCTCTCGAAAGTAGAAGCTGTATTCCATCTCCGAGACTAACAGACTGATTTTTTGCGACAGCTCCATTCAAGAGGTTTTGTGAGATGAAAATAGGAATTATCTCGCAGTGCATGGTTAAGCCTAGGCAGATCAACGATCAGTATCTTGGAAATCTTGCGCTGAAGATAAATTTGAAGGTGTGAGCTGTTACATGTTCAAGCATGAGTAACTATTTTCAGTGAAGATTTTTGTATCCATCTTCGAGTGTAAATGTTATAACATATTGATTCTGTGTATAGATGGGAGGGTTTAATTCCCCATTGAGCCGGCGGATGCTCACCTGCCTTGGTGAGTCAACCATAATATTTGGGATGGATGTGTCGCATGGATCCCCTGGAGATTTGAGTGTTCCTTCGATTGCAGCTGTGGTTGCCACCAAAAACTGGCCGGAAGTGTTCCATTATTCGACGCAAGTTAGAACACAGCCACCCAAGATGGAGATGATAACTGGTCTTTATGAGCCTAAGGGTGGCATGGTGAGGTGAGTGTCTTCCTTCCATGAGATGTGGCTGTAGGGAACCGTTAGAACATTGGATTACGTGGTAAGATTTTTGCTCCACGGTGATTAATGTTTTTTTTGTTTTCTTTTTGTGTGTATGCCAGAGAATTGCTTTTGACATATTACAACACATGCGCCAGAGGCACAAATCCTAAACCAAGTCAAATTATCATCTACAGGTACATTCCTGTAATTGCAAAGCAGCTTCCTCCTGGAAGCATTTATTCCTGTGAGATGGTAACCTCGGTGCCCAGTTCGTTCAACTGATTCTTTTTGCATTCCATTTGAACTAGTCGGAACGTTTGATCTGGAATTCAGGGATGGAGTCAGCGAAAGCCAGTTCGCGGAATGTTTGGAGGTAGAATTTATGGCGTTCAAAAGGGTACGATCCGTAGCTTTGTATCTGTTTGCTAGAACTGAAGGATATTTATTCTTCTTTGTTTTACCTTCGGATCCTTCCGGATGAGATGTTAATTCACATTTACTTTTACAGGCGTGTGCGGAACTGGAAGAAGGCTATAATCCTGGGATAACCTTCATTGTCGCTCAGAAACGTCACAACACACGTTTCTTTCCTCAGAACCGAGATTCGTTGAAGAATGGAAACGTTCTGCCAGGTTTTGGTCATCCTTTCTAATTATGGAACTGGTTTTCAAGTTTTGTCGTATGCTACAAGATAATGGTTTAGTTCCAACCTACTAGCAGAATGGGTTTGCCAATACAGCTCAAGCGTGCTGTTGCGTAAGTCCTGAAGTGCTGTGCAGGTACTGTTGTCGATAAGGATGTGTGCCATCCTCACAACTTTGACTTCTTCCTCGTCTCTCAAGCTGGACTCATTGTAATCCTTCGTACCCCTGAACTCTTAGAACTAGGCATTTATTGTACAATTTAGAAATCATAGCAAGTCATTGCACATGCCACAGTCCTATTGGTTACGTACTACGCCAATTTATTTGTTCTTCAACGCCTATGGAGGGCAATCGTGAACTTGAAGATTTGCATCCGGCTTGACTGCAGGGTACATCTCGTCCGACTCACTATCATGTGCTGGTGAATGAAAACAAACTTGGGCCGGATGACATCCAGATGTTGACCAACAACCTCTGTTACACGTAAGTGTATGGTTGGAGACGTTTTGTGGTGTTGTGCAAGTTCCTTGCTGTTTTCATGTTCCAGAATGTTTTCTTGTTTTCCTGATGTGGCTTCGGATGTGCTTTCGATTTGTAGGTTTGGACGCTGTTCGACGTCAATTTCGATGGGTGAGTTCAAATTTTGAAGGATGATATTGAATGTTTCTGCAACTATTGTTAGTTATCATGGTTGAAGTTATCTTCTAACGTATGTGTGGTGGCCTTATTTTATTTTATTTTATTTTATTTTCGTGCTTGCAGCGGCTCCTGCGGCATATGCCCATGTTGTGGCAGGAAGGTATCGGAAGTTGCTTGACACATGGGGAAGAGGATCTGATACCTCTTCCTTGAGGAGTTCCAAAGAAGGAGGGGTTGACTCAATGCCTTTACCAGAACTTCCGGCTCTCAAGATCAAGCCCGAATATTCGATGTTTTTTTGTTGAACTAACAGATTGTACTTCCCTCTCTTATCTGGCCGGAAACTGAGGAGGTGGTTGTGGCGTTTTTGTACATAACTGCGACTTCAGGGTTAGTAATCAATTCTTCTCAAGACCGAGAGCACTGTCCCATCCATTCCTGTTAAACTGCGCTGAACCCGTGTGGGTTTATTTTGGAATAGCTTACAGAAAGAGTTGGCTGGCTAAGATTTACACACATACCGCTACTAAATACTTAAACTTTATACAGATAGAATAAAGAACTTTGTCTAAAAGATTGGTAACAAAGTATCCCCGTAAGATAATATAAAATTTTTAAGTCTTATTTTTACACTAATAAACATGACGCCTTTGAATAAGATAATTTAGGTCTTATCTTTGTCTTTTTTACAATTTCTAGATGGTTGTCCTTACTAATCTATGAATGTAAGTTAATTTTGAAGATATTCTGTGCATATGAATTAATTTTCATTATTTTCAATATAGGTAATGGTCAAGTTTAGTATTTTTCTTATAGAGCATGAACTTAGAAGTCTATATTGTTATATTTCTATGTTTTTTAATACTGAGATGACAAAATATTCTCATCTTACAGCCAAGTTTACTACTTCATCTACTATTATTTCTAACATGGTATTCTGTTTTGGCTTGATCTAAATAAAGACATTATATAGATTAGAGAATAAAATCAAATTATGCTTTATAGAAACAAATCACTTCAATTTTAGCCTTCCTATTACATAAACCTTCTATCTCAAATATAAATAGCTTTAGTTGACTAAAACCAATAGTTTATTGCATTCATTTTTGTGTTATTTTTAATGTCTGTAATTTAGTTTTATTCAAAATTGTTCTATGATTTCATCTTTATTTTTTAATGGGCAGAACATCTAACATACTATCTTTCTTATTGTAAATATAATATGCATAGTTTGAACCTTACTTCTGTAAGTGAGGTATTCAGTAGACCTTTAATTAATTGGAACTAAGCAAGAGGTTTTATATACAATCAATAAGTTGATTGAATCTATTCATATACTATATAATACTGTGTAAGAAAGAAAGTGTTAGAATTTGAGACTAAATAGATGAAAAATCATTAGTATATTAATATAAATAATGGTCATAAAAATAAAAACTACAGAAATAAATAATGGATTTTTATTTGTATCCTAATGTTCTTGGAGGACTAAGAAATTTAACAAATCTAAAATTCATAAATTATTTCAATAAATAAGTGTTAATTGATAAATTTAGAAGAACTAAGTTATTATAAAAATTCAAAGAAGATACTAGAATTATCCAGAAATCTTCCATTATACAGTAGATTTTTTTAGAATATCCTAAAAACTTAGTAGAAGTATGTTTTAGATACCTTAGAAGTTGAGCTACATGAGATAGCTTTCTAAAAAGCTTTTAGAATAGTTTAGAAATGAAGCCATGCAATTTAACTTGAAGTGTAAGTTGTTTAGGAAGCTTCTTAAGACTTGGTTGATAAGTCATTGGACTCTAAGCCTTTGGTCTTTAAGTAATACAAGTAGAGACAAGATTAAGATCCTTCTTAATCTTATCAATTTATAGTTTTTGATTCAATTCTTCTTGATACTTTTAGGTCTTTTTATTTCTTGATATTAACCATTGATTGTTGTTCTCTTATTTGTTTTTTCTTTTTTATACATGTCTTAGTATGTAATACTTAAAAAATCCTTATTTCTTTAAGAAAGAATCAATTAAAAAAGAAATTGTCTTCTTCTTAATATGTTTATTATTTTATATAGCTCAAGAAAAGACACATAGAACATGGAATGAATCTTAATAAACTCTAGTAGGTATATTTCATAAGCAATTGGATTGATTTATTTACAAATAAGAAATGTATATCTACAATAATTCAAATAGGAAATAGCCAATAATCTACAATAATTTTCAAAGGCAATCAGTCATGATGTTACAACAAAGTAATTATATTTTGTTGACCACATAGAATTGAAGTTTTTCTTTACAATAGTCATCTATATTGATCTTTTGTTGTTTTCAATTTTTTCTTAATTGTGCCTTTATTGTTACATTTAGCTTTGATAAACGATTTACCAAATATTTTGCAAGAAGATTGTGAAATTTTGTGAAGACAAAAGTATTGGATCTTTGATGATAACCATAATTAGCAAAAAAAGATATTTATTGAATAAAAAAATATATTATACTATTTTAAGTAAATTTTAGTAATGATAAAGAATTATTCAATCATCTTGATGGTAGTTGATGATACATCTCCAATATTGCTTTAAAACTTAATTCACTTGTCTTATTTATCTATTTGTTTGAGGATTGAAAGCCAAAGAGTGTTTTATGCCTATCTTTAATATTTCTACAAGAATTTTCTAAAATCCTGATACAAATTGATTTTTTCTATTTGATATAATATCTCATAGCAATTCATAATAATAATAAATATTTCTAAAAAAATATTTAGCTATTTTTTGCTTCTAATAGATTTTGTATATGATACAAAATATATCATCTTAATGAAATGATCTATTATCACAAATATAGAGTCATATGACCTTGAAATTGAATAACATATGATAAAATCCAAAGAAACAAAAGTCCATAGTTATTTTAGTATTTCTAATGTGTGAAGAAGTCCATAAGATCGATGATAAAGAGTTTTTGATCTTGAATAAATATCACACAATTATATAAAGACTTTAATTTCCTTCCATATTTGAAGCCACAAAAAATCTCTTAATATTATCTCTAAGCTCTTGTTTTATCCAAAATATCTTGCAATTTAATAATTATGATAAGTTTGAAGAGCATTTAATTTTGCTTTTTCAATTGGAATATTTAAGCATCTCTCAAAATGAAGTAGATTGTTCTTGAAGTCAAACTTAAAAATATTTTGAGTTTTGAGATGTTTATTTTTATTATTATGAATAATAGGATCTAAAGATATACTTAAATGAATTTTTTTAAGAAATGTTGAATTAAAAATCAATGTTGATTTTATTATTTAATGATGAAATTATTCAAACTTCAATTGAATCATTTGTTGTTGATCAAAAGTTGCATCTCTTTCTTTGTGCACAATATAAGAACGTCTAAAAATGTTGTTTGAAAAATCTTCTTGTTTTTCTAGTTGATAAGTTATCTTAAAATCAAATTTTGACAAAGACATGCTCAAATAAGCTTGAAAAAAATTTAGATTATGTATTGATATAAAATAATTAAGGTACTTGTAATCCATGTACATGGTGATTCCACTAAAAGCATCTTCGAGATAATGACCCTATTCTTGAAGTGAATCCATAATTGCAAGAAATTCTTTGTTGTAAATCTTGTAATTGATCTCGACAATTGAAAACTTTCTTAAATAAAAAGCTATGAGATGAATTTTTTTATCTACTTCAATTGATGAAGAAGTCTTGAAATCAAAAGTAGAAGATACATATTCTTGATGATGATCTTATTGAATCATTAATAATCCATATACATCTATAGTGATTTGTATTTTTTCATCACAAATAAGATAAGATCCCTTTTTAGATACTTGGAATGATAAATAAAATTCTTAGCTTAATTCTTGTCAATGTATTTTTTGAATGTAATCAACTTTTTTTGCAATAAATTATAGATTGATCCAAATGGCAGTTGAGCATCTTTTTGAAGATTAATTGAATAATCATAGGAACAATACTTTTGAATAATATCTAAATTCTTCTTCTTAAAAAAATCTAAAATTTTTAAAAAATCTACAATTTAAATTAAAAAAGAGTAATTTAAAACCTCTAATATCAAATAAAAATTTCTAAAAAAAATAGATAATTCTTTTTTTTTAAAAAAAAGAATCAATGTTAAAAGTTTTAAAAAATATTAGTTTAAAGATATGTAGTCTATAATACTTAAAGCACAATAAAAGAAGTATGATAACCTAATCAATTTTAAAATAAAAATAAAAACAATGAATCAATACTCTTATCAAATTATTCAAGACATAAATCATAAAGAACCAAAAGATCAATATGCTCATATCATTGAAAAAGAATAGATAATCAGTTAATGATGGTATAATATTAAAACTAGAATGGCTATGGCTAAAGGCAAGAAGAATAGAGACTTGTGAAATAAGACTAGATATTAGTAAGAGTAAAGAAGGCTTCACTATTATCTCTATATATACTATCTAACTAAGAACTATGTAACAATGCTCTATAGAACCTTCAAGATGTGTCCAACTTGTAAGACAAGTTTTTTTACATGTGTGTTATATGGCCAACTTGTATCAAAATTTGCCAATATGTGCAACATGTGGATAACTTATTGGCTAAGTTTTCAACCTACCAATCAACTACAAACACATATAAAGCCAATTCTATATCCATGAAGCTCTTAAGAAGCTTCTTCATAAAATATTATCAAATCTACTTTCATTTATCTTCTACTTAATATTTCTTATCTAAGTAATTATATATGTTCCTGGTATTAACATAATATAAGTATACAACAGACCTAAATAAAAGCAACTTATGTCTTTAATATATATATTTTTTAATTTTATTGAAATTCTATGTTTTATTTAAATTGATTATTTTTAGATCTAATTTAAAACTATTATTATTTACTATTTTTTTATTATATTAATCAAAGTGGATTTGTCTTAATCCAACTTGTAATTGTAATTAATAGAATTTTTTTCAAATTCAGATTTATTCAACTCATTATTTTAGTAGAGATTAATTAAATTGAGATTATTTAAAGTTTATGTTAATTTAAGTCTAATTTATTTAAAACTTCTTAAATATAATTTTTTAATCCTAATCAAATTATTTTAAGAATTTTTGATAACTCCAAACTAACAAATTTCAAATTTACTAAAGTCTATAGTGCCAAAGTGTAGACTAAAGGCTAGTCAAGTAATTTTCTAAGCTTTGGATTGAAAAAGATCTATGGTACCAAAGTTCAAACTAAAGATCTATTAGATAGATGTCAAAGTTCCAAATTGGGAGATACTTATAAAGCTAAAGTCAAAATTGAGAATCTTCTAAAGAAATATTTAGAATCTTGACCAAGAGATATTTATTTCTTTTGGTATATTTTCTTTGATTTTATTTCTTCTAAATTTGGTGGTTATTTTAGACAGAATATTTTCTTCACTAATGTAAAAATCAAGATTAACACTGATTTAAACTAATTTTTAATTTCTGCCATCTTTCAAGCTTCTATCATTATGTTTTTATCAATATAAATCAATTAATAATACAAAAAATATTTGTTAAATATATATATATATATATATATATGAGTCGAGGAACATAATGGGTCCTATGGTTTCAGAGGCTCCCAGGATTTCTGCAAAATTATCTCTCGCTACGCACTCACTTTGGGGTGTATCAACAGAGTTTGCATTCGGTGATAGTCGATTGCAATGCTTCAAGTTCTAAAAAAAATTCATTCTCTATTCTAGTTTCCTGCTACCCTGCTCATGGTTTGAATAAGTCATCACTAAAATTAGAAGGGAACTCATATTTTTTTTCCCAATCTAATCTCCTGCGCTGCTACTGTCCCCCCCCCCCCCCCCCCCCCCATGAACTGCCCATAGTATTTATGGTTTATCACTTCGGTGACCCATGACTGTTACCACTTCAGCCACGGAAGCAGTTGACGTGGACAATGCCAAAAAGCGTGTTTTTCGGTGCAGATTGTCCGCGTTATGAAGAGTTTCGGGGAAGGTCTCAGACCTTTGAGTCAGTCGGTAGAGGCATGTTGCTCCTATAAGTCGGTCTGCATTTGCTTCAGTGGTGCGGGACGTAGAATAGGAATTCCGTTGAAGGGAAATGCGAAGCGGCAGGGCGTTAGGGTAAAGATAGGCGGAGTGGAGTGGAGGTGGGGGTTTGGGGGTCGTGTCTGTGTGAGGTGGAGTTCTAGAATGACCGAAGCGAATTTGGAACTGTGCACTGGTAACCCCGTAGCGTTTTGAGGTAAGTTAACACATGGAGAGACTTCGGTTCACTCGATGATTTGGAACTGAAACATAATGGGTCCGTACGCTTGGATTTAGATGTGTTGTTGTGTTGTGTTGTGTTGTGTTGTTTTTTTTTTTTTTTTTTTTTTTTGGCTGGCTCCTCGTCATCGTTCCATGTTTCGGCAGACTTTTGCTAGGGTGGACTTGACTTGGATTTTTGAGGATTATAGGTTTTTGCATTTCTGTACAAGGAGAAATTTGAATGTGGAGAAATTGTGTGGATTGCAATCGAGTATTTTAATCCTGTAGCTCCAAGTTCGATAATTGGTTTTTAACTTGATCAGTTAAGCCGGTGCTTATTCAACAAAACTAGTTTAAGCCGCCTCGAGATTAATTCGAGAAGATTTGGTAAATATTTTTTTTTGTAAGCATTTGACATATAGTATAGTTAGAATCATTTTAGAGATGTTTGTAATCTTACGTTTTGCTCACTGTCATTTTGTGTTTTTTCCTTGCATGCAAGGCTTTTCAGGCAGAATACTGGGACAATTCAAGGACATCTCCGGGAGTCAAAAGGATAAAACTATTTTCAATGTCCATGTTTCAACAATCGCACAAGATTGTTTCTGATTGATAGGGCTGCGCGCAGTGTTGCATTATTTCGTTCACCGTTGTGAATCAAATTTAGGTAGTGACATCCGACCTGCTTACGAGCTGTCAACCTTCAATCATGACTAACCGTCCTTTCAACAGGTAAGCATGAGTATTACTGATACATCACACATCAGATTCGATTTAGAAATGCTGCAACAAATGCAATCCATCGTGTTGTATCCATAAGCGAAGTTGGTCATTGGGAACCCTGCTTCACCTGATTGAGCGGAGACTAGTTCCCAGTCTTCTAACTAGGTACTTGAGCAGAACAATGAAGTGCTGAAGCATGATCAAATTGTGCTGAACATCGACACTTTCATAAAGCAGAGTGAAGTTCTTGCGAGACGTTGGATGTGATTATGTTCTACTCTTGGGAAATAAGCTTTGCCAATAAATGCTGCATTACAAGAGTGGCTGGTCTTTATTATCAACTCTGGAGTTTATTTTTCTCGAGCTTAGTTATCATTCTTAGCCTCGTAGGGCATTACATACTATTATAACTGACAATTTTATTGTTGGCTATCTGTGCAGTTCCTCTGGAGCAGTCAATTCTGATACCAGAAAGCAATCAAAAAGGTTCAAAGGTATCCTTGAACCTAAGGGTCGAGTGAAAGGGTTCAGAGTGGAGATTCGTCCGTCCAACTCCAAGTCGAAAATTTGGGTTGGGACTTTTGACACGCGAGACAAAGCCATGCGAGCGTATGATGCAGCTTTGTATTATATCGGGAAGGACCCGCACTACTACTCATACCCTAAAGGCTACTTTAGAAAGTGTTCACAGAAGCCGTCCAAAGAAGTTGTAGTTAGCGAGGCCAAGAGATTCGCAGAGAAGACTGATTTCCTTCTGAAGAATATGTCAGATCTTGAAATCGTGGATGAAATCTTGAACGAATTGCCGGCTCGAGCTGTACTATTTGATGCGCCTTCTCAAGATCTTCAAGTGGCCGAGCCATTATTATGGCCTGAACTGCCCAATCAATTGCCTTTGAAAGCATCTTCGGACGACCTTCAAGCGGACGATTCATTTTGGTCTGAACTGCATAATGAATGGCCGCATTTTGATGTATTCCCTCACGACCCTCGAATGGACGAAATATTATGGCCTGAATTGCCTATTGAATCTCCCTTGGAAGGACCTTCTCAAGACTCTCAAGTGGACGAAACATTATGGTCTGAACTGCCCAATGAGCCTCCTTTGGAAGCATCTTCTCACGACTTTCAGGTGTGCGAAGGATTGTTGCTTGGATTTAACAATGCATTGCGTAAACCTTCGAATGAATCACCTGAACTTCCCAATGAATTGCCTTTGGTAGCATCTTCTCACGACATTCAAGTGGAAGAAGCATTATTGGCTGATCTGATCGAGAAAACATCTTCGGAAGCACTTTCTTATGCCCGTCCAAAATGCCAAGAACCTTACGATTGGCCCTGTTATTGATCCAATGAATGTCGTGTTGCCTGCGGGTTATGACGATCCTTCTTCAGACAAATTTACATCTATTGGGTCGTTCCAGGGCGACGACAGATCTGAAGGTTTGTGGGGGATGGATTTGCCGATTATGAATTTGGATTGCTTATGTTGGGATGACTTAATCGTATCGACCATCACAATGTGTAGTTTACGACCTTGTTATTGTGATAATTCTACGAAGCGGTTGAAGAATTTGTATTGTAAGCTTGGTTGACGGCGAGAGACAACACTGACGACATCTATGAAAGCAGTTGTTACCCTCCAAAGCCTTCGAAACGGTGCTGTGTTCTTTTTTCAAATGTATACAAACCATGCGCAGGGTTTTTTTTGCTGGGTCAAAGTAGTGATTTAAAAAAAATAAAAAATAAAAAAAATGTAATTTTTTTACGTTTACAATTCGATCTATATGCTCCTTCATATTATGTAATGTCTAGGATTCCACAATACGTTGTGTGTGCACAGACTCGGCAGTTGTGTGTGCATGGACTTGTTTTGTAATACTAAATTGGGATGGCTTTTAAATATCGGATGAGGAATTTTGGGTACGTTTTTGACAAGTCACTAAGTTGAAACCATATGATATGCATGATTTATGAATATGTATGGAAGGTATTTCATTTCTGAACACAAGTGCATAATTGTGATTCTAGAAATTCCGGATTGCTAGAAATATAGCATCTTTGAGTATGTAGGAAGAAATTTGATTATGTCAGAATTTGACTGTGTTAGAACTTGAGTCTGTATAAAATTGAGTGGCTATTATTTACGAAATTATTGATTTTAAATTACCACTGTTCTATGCAATTGAGGATGTTATGAGATTACTTGACAAACTAAAATGAGATTATTTGGTTTGTAAATTATTACTTTTTAAGTTTAATAGTTTTTAGTAATTTGTCTTCTTCAACATGTCTTTTTAAAGGTTTTTTTTTAGTAGTAGTGTTTCATTTCTTGCATATTATTTTAATTAAAGCCACTAATTAATTTTTTAAAAATATATAAAAAATACTTAATATCAACTTATAAGATGCATATTATTGAACAACAATTAGAACTTGAATAGATTTTGTAGAAAATATAGAAATCATAATAATGATAATAATAATAATAATAATTTTAATTTTAAAATTTTAAAATATATAGATATTTACTATATTTTAAAATTTTAATTATGAATTTAAAAATCTAAAAACAAATGGAGACATAAAGACGAAGTCAAAACAATAAAATATATATATATATATATATATATATCTTTTCTAAAGAATGAAATCTTCACATTATTTGTATAGTTAAAAGTTGCTTTCATGAAAGATGTCTAAACGAAGGAATTTATATGTATATATATATATATATATGATATGTTTGGTGATTGTGAGGGATGTGAAACTTCGTAGAAATTGCAAAGAATATAAGTGCTTGTCTCTAAGTTGTAAGCTAGTATGATGATAATTTAGTTTATATATGCTCCTTCAAGCTCAAAGACCACTTGAGCAGTGTTTCATAACTAACATGGATCATCTTAGTTAGTAATCATTAGTGTTAAGAATAAGAGATTTGTGTTTGAAAAGAAGAAGATTGAAGTTGAGTGATTTGTATTAGGTGCTAGCAATGAGAAGTTTGAGCCATTCTTTTCTTGTTACTCATTACAACAAAGTTGGGATTAAGTATTATGTGCTTGTTTTGACAACTTGTCATTTTTTACATGTCAAATTAGACAAAATATTTAGTGTATGGTAAAAAATCATATTATAGGAGAATAAAAGAATTATCAAAGAGATAGATTTGATTTACTTTAGAAATACTTGGAATTTCCTTTATACCATGTTACAAAAGTACATTGCTTCACAACAATAATATTTAAATCTGATATAGAATTAGCATTTTCAATTAACATTATCTCCATAACCAACATTGATTTTTAAAAATGCAAGAATCAACTATTTTCCAAAAGAGAATCATAAGATGCCTTTTTGAATGTTTTGTCAAATATTCTATTTTATTTTATTTCTTGGTTGCATGTTTCAATTTAATTCACAACCAATTCATGATTCAAAGATTTTCTTAAAGTATTATAGTGAGCATTGGCTGTAATAAAGCTTGTAAAATGGAGTCAATGCTTTTTTATTTTTAGGAAGTCTCTTAATCAAGGCCTAGCCAAACTTACATATAGAAAATAGATAACAAGCATATAACAAGAGAAGCATGGCCCCATACTAGACCCATTGTAGATGATAATATGTTGAGTATTATTTATTGCAATTATTATTGAGAATTTCCCTTCACAACTAAGCTTAAAAGAACATAATGGTGTAATTCTATATATTGAAGTTTGCAAATAATTAGCATTTTTTTGCTCCATTTTTCTCATAATATCCATTTCTAGTTTGTTTTTGAAGAATTCTTCTCTCACACATAATCTCAACAGACACTACATAGTTCTCAAAACCTTTTCTTCTTTATACCCACATACTTATTATGACTGACACAAGTTTAGATTATTACTCTGTTTTTATTCATGTACTTAACAAATGTGAGGACATATTAGACAGAAATTAATTGCTCATATCATGAGTTTTTGGTGTGGAATTCATGTGTATTTTGTTTTTGATTTCATGATTTGTATATATCTCAATACATTGACAAATGTTAGTGCTCTGTTTAAACAACTAAAACATAGTCTAAGATGAAAAACATTATGTATACATACATACATACATACATACTTACATACACACCTTTAAAGGATTTTTTATTTCAAAATATTGTAAAATAAATAAATAAAATTGTTCAGACATTATTTGATTTTTGAAAAAAATAAATCATATAATATTTAAAGAAAATTGTATTTCAAAGTGGAGAATTAAATTGAGGGTGTTGGATTTCTGAGAACTGCAATGCTACCAATATCAACACCTACAAAGCCTTACACTTAGAGCACTTGGAATAATGTATAAAGTAACATGTAAGGATCCATTTTCCTTGACATCAAACTGATTTTCCACAACTTAATCTATTCATTAAAACTGTACTAACGTGGCTAATCTGGTACCTTAACATTGCGTCCGGTTTACAAGAACAAATTGGTTGCCCCCCAAAAAAAAAATTCTCCACACTTCAGATGGGTACTTGGTCGATTTCCAGATTAAAATGGTGCTTTCACATGATTATTCGTTTTAAACCAACGAATAGCTGACGGTAAAACCCGTGTTCATCCAGTGTGGTACAGTGCGTTGGTATACACCCCATGTTACACCACACATTACATCATACTTCACTCTACTCACAGGACAAAAATTCGCGATAAAAATTGAGATGAATAGTTGAATTTCTTTCCTATCAACTCTGATTTGTGACCTACTGTGGAAAAGTTTCAACACATGGGCATGAAATCAATCAACATTCAAATCCAAACGTTCTCAAACAAAAGAATAAAACTTGAATTAATAAATGTCTAAAAAGGCCAATGAGGACTGTTAAATAAACTTATAAATTTTATCCAAGAATCACATACGGCTCTACACCTCTAAAATTTCCATACGTAACACCCTACAAGCTGTTAATCACCCCAAGAAGGCGTGCTGTGTAGATATCAGAACCAAGCAGGTTCTAGTTTCTAGCTTTTACCTCTAACACTGTCTCATACGTTTTTTTTACTCCTAGAAACCCGCTGTGTTCGACTGGAAGCGAAACTTGGTACCCTCAGATAGCTGCAGAACAAGTTCAGACCTCTAGCAGGAGGATATTGAACACACCCTTGAACTTCTTACCTCGACAAGGTTTGCAAATGCCAAGACATGTAAGGAGAAGGGGAAAAAATGACAGCAATCAACACTCCGCAGTATTTAACATGCTGAACAACAAAACTCGACTCTTTCCTTCCGAAACAACTGAAAGGGAATCTAAGACCATCTATCCTGGCCAAACGAGGGAAAAAAATGTATTGACCTCTTGCTCAATTGGAGACCAACACATGACAATCACCTCTGGAAGATTAAGATGCGCTTCTGCAATTAATATCGACAGTAGATGCTCTTTGGTCAAAAGCTCGCCTTTCATAAAACAGTAGATAGGCTTCACTCTGCAATACATCGTCTAGGCTTGTCTTACGAACATGTGAATCACTGATGTAGTACCATGTGGATTTACCCTCAGTGGAGTCTTCCGATTCTCCTTTGACATACGCGACATAGTGACCACCTCGCATTGTTCCGGAGTGCTCCACAGTACCAATCAATTGGTACACACCATCTTGTTTAATGCTATCCCTGCAACCAATTTAAAGGACATCATCAGCATTCTTTTAAAACTTTCCTGCGAGGTTAAAAGAAGTTATAATGATTCTCAGTGCTGTAACTTGAGGACCAGAATACAATGCTCGTACCAACCTTTGGTCAATAAATGGACCCAGGTCAAGCTCCTCATGGAAGGTAATATGTCCACCCAGCTTGCTCAATCGCCCATATGTGTCTTGGGCAAACCTTTTCAAGTGCACTGTGAGAACGAGTGGGGCTTTACTGATCAGGAGCCTTTTAGTTGCATCCCTTTTGACGCTGACCATCTTCGTGACATCCTTTTCCAATTTCTTCTTACCGATTTCCTCCTGGGGACTACGAGAAACTGCTTTAAGAGCAGCATTTGCAGAAGCCTTCCCATTTATGTCTGGCTTATGAGCCCTGTCAGCTGGACTAACTGCACTCTTACTAATAATTGATGCAATATTTTCATCCCTTTCATCTGCATTTGCAAACGACTTTCCCACTATTACATGGGGTTCTTCTCCATCCTCTTTCGCATTGAAAGGCTGAGGTTCTTCAGTACCATCAACAGTACGGAGCTCCGCTAAACTTGACCCAGCTCTTCTATCTACTATTTCAGCATTATTCAACTGAACATCCAATTGACTAAATTCATCCTTGGAAATAGCTCCAACCATGCCCCAATCACTTTGATCTACTTTTTTTACGGACTCGACTGTTTCTTGAGTAGATACTACTATCATGCTCATGGAATTGGTTGAGCCAATCAAATCCTCTACACTACCCTCACGATGTACAAGACTCACCGACTCCCACCCTCCTTCACCAGAATTGTCAGTGTCTGAAATTGGTCTGATTTCAACACTGCACTCTTCAGCTTCTGACAATTTATCTAAACAATTTGTCTCTTGTTCTCTTTCACGTAAACTCAATTGATCAAGTTCTTGTCGGCCATGCGCAATACGAGTGCAATTCTCACAAGCCCAGGCATTCTCTCCTGACAGAACTTCAGTCTTAGTGAAGGCCTGCAAACAGCCTTCAAGTGACATAGTGGGATAAATATCTTCTTCACAAAAATCCCTAACGGATCCAGACCTACCATCAGAAATAACAAGAGCGTCCATACTATTGAAGCTACCAAAATCAATGGAATTCAAAACTTGAGACTCAGGTGCTGTGTCGTTCCTTGAAGGCGAATTGCAATCAATATCATCAAAGAGACCACCTATACCGACATCGACTTCTCCTTCTTCGACAGAAACAAAAGACCCCAACTGGCCCTCGCTGGTCAACGTGGATCCTTGATTCATGCTGGATTGATCTCCAGCTAATGGTTTTTCAGAGCAGCCAACGACGGTCTGCATTTCCACCTCTAAAGACGGATTACAAGGCGGGAGGAGAGGCAGGGCCATACACTGGTCCTCGGCACAACCATAGCCTTCAAATGGAAGATGGGGACCAAAGGGGACAACAGTTTCTTCCAGCTGGAAGACAGCAAGTGACTCATCAGTTTGGGAGGCCTCAACACCCTGCGTTGAAATAATCCCTCGAGAAGGGTTCTGATCAGCCTCCTCGCCATACTTAGTGGAAGGCTCTTCTTGAGAATTAACCTCGACATCTCTTGATTGGTTAGCATGAGATGCTCTGCTCGCAGCTTCCGGAGCATCAGAACCAATTCGTTGAGCGTCTATTAATACTTTACCACCACCCTCTACAGCAGTCTCTTTGATAGGCTTGTCCACATTTTCACTCCATAAATTGGTACTGTTGGTTTTACCACAAGAAACAAATGCTTCAGCTAAAGATTCACAGGGAAGGGGAGTAGCAGGTGGACGAACTACTTTTCCGACGTGATCCTTGCCAACAATCGTAGCATTTCTCTTGTCCTCAGATCTCGAATAATTCCCATTCGAGTTCTCAGAATCCACAGTATCGCCAGCAGAAATATTTCGCTCCAAATTAAACCCAACGATGGGAGGAGGTACTTCCACTTTTTTCTGATCCTTAATGGCAGTAGGTACATCATCAGCTGGTCCGGAAACAAATGGTGAAATTTGTGCCGCTTTCAAGCTTAGAATTCCATTACCAGATGGATTCTCTCTTTTACTTCGAGGTGCAAACAATTTCGGCACTCCAATAGGCTCCGCAGTCTTCCCGAAAGATTGCTTCGACGGAATTGGCAAAGACAAGTCTAAAAAGGGCTCATACACAACCGAAGAGTGACCACACTCGCAACAAGTCACAGTACTTGAATACTGCCCGCCAAACATGTACTCTACCAATGTGTCGGGCTTCTTAGGGGCTTTTTCGAGGCTGCCGTCCTCGTCTTTGGAATTTGAATCAGCGCCTGATTCAACTTTTTTATCCATACCGAATTGGGCCTTCCGTATGCTTTCTTCCTCCATGTGCAATCCATCCAGTAAACACCGCAAGAGTTCATGACTGTCTTGCTGTTGAAAACCCCTAAACCTTGGAGCTTTCTTACAAATCTCAGAGAAGAGTATTTTCGGACTTACAGCGCTACCCACATTGCCGATTCCAAACGAGCAAGTCCTGATTGATCTCTCGACTACATCGACCCCAGCTAATTTCTGAACAGGGTTAGAGTCCATTTCCTGGAAAAAGTTTCTGAGAGACGATTTCAATACACCTTCTTGTGCAATTGTTTCTTTACCGAAATGCTCCCGGAGCATCCTCACACCAACGAGGTTCTGCATCACCGAATTGAAAAAGCAAGTGTTGCCCAAGTTCATCAACCCTTTCATCACCGACCTGGTAGCGAACGACCTAGCTGGTTTGACTTCTATTGTATGATTACTGGATGACCTAGAATCACCTTCGTCGACTTTAGCAACTTGATCGGACTCCATTTGAGCGTCCTTCTCCTTTGAGAAGGTCGGATGACGAGTTCTATTTTCATGCAATAAAGTTGCTGCTTGCTGTAGTAACAACTCACGTTTACTTGCTTCATTTGAGCTCTCGTCCCCAACAGCAAAAGCTTGTCCAGGAACACTTGGGTACTTGAGCTGCAAATTACACTCGAGACAACGGCAGTCTAAAGATTCGTTCCACCGCATGACCACGGAGTGATTCGACTGACTTGCGTGTGTTTCTAAATGAGAGACACTAGTTGGTCCACTATTGTTCTGATCTACGTCCTTAGCTTCCGGTATTTGAAAGCCGCATCCAGTCTGACCACAAGCAAGACATGTCCACAGAGGTTTCTCCGCTACTGGTGCTGTTGCTACTTTATCTGTTTTACCCAACATGCACTCATGACACTCCATCGGAGGTTTTGTGGCAAACTGAGAGCGCAATTTATCTAGATTAACACCATTCTCGACATGTTGACAGCAACTCGTGTCCTCGAAGTTTAGAAGATGAAAGTCAGAAGAGGAATCGTCCACACTAGTCCCTCCCGATGACATTGGAAAAGGCGTCATAATCGATGTAGGTGATGAAGCAGCTTGCTTGGATGCGTTCGCTCGCTGCACCTGTCGGATATTCCTACTGGTTCGCGCCTGTTTCTTCTTCTGCCTCTTGCCCATGTCCCTCCTCTACCCTTAATCTGCAAATTGCAACGAGGGAACAGAAGCAGCACCCAATTACTTTGAAAGGTGATTTTCGAGTAGCCCGATCGAATTCAACCATAAACAAAGTTTTTTCTTTATTCTTTAGTCTTTTTCTTATTTTTTTTTTTTTTACAGTGCGATTCCAACACGAAGTATGAAAAATATGACGAGCAAACCAAACGCCCTGCCATGATCGCTCGCAAAAACAAGCAATGATTTCAAAGTGCCAGATCTGGAACAAACAAAATGGATTTCGCAAACACGACAGATGTTGAGGTTGAGTACACAAACTGCAAGGGACCGTCGAGTTCAGGCGGTGGAGTTGACACACTGGAACCTAATCCCCAACGTAAACATCGTAAAATCAAATCCATGCGAGGGATCAAAACAAGACCATACCCTAGAGCTTGGAGAAGCAAGGTTCCGGTCACAGCAGATCACGGAGACGTGGAAAAGTCTACACAAAACCCCCACGGATCATACAACCAGACTCCGCGATTTTCTCCAAGATTGTGCGGCTCGAGGACTAGGCTAACGTTAGATCACCTGCAGACGAAATACTGATGCTAAAATAATGCCCAACGCATATTTTTCAATCTTGCCAACTTTGAAATAAAGGTGACAACGAGGTACAACTCGTTCTCCAACTTAACAGTAGATGCTGCTGTTCGTCGAAACAGCCTCCACGAAAGCGTGTGCCTAAAGGATGCGTGTGTAACCTAAAACTAGGCTTCCACCGAGCTGCAGCGGTAAGCACCATCGAGCCAACTCCTCTACGGCTAACGATGACGCGTTGACACCTCGCTCCGCGACATTATCAAGCGCACACACACACACCGAAGTCGAAAGGTAGGATTGGCACACACGACCCTGCCAGACACTCTCGAACGGTAGAAACCCCTGCTCACGGTAATGAGACTCCGAACCCTAACCTAATACTGTCATTGTTCCCCACTGTAACTGTTCCCAAATATCACTACACATGTTGAAACGAGGACCCCCCGCTCCAATCGATGATACAATATGTTCGGAACTTGTTCAAGTGCAGATCTATATTTGAAGCACCGCGAGGCGAGGTAGCCTACCTTTTACATACTGGTGTGGTTGTCGGAGAACATATGGGAGCTGCAAATGGTTGCGTTATCACCGCATTGCACGCATTGAGGCAGCACGGATTTCACGAACGTAGTTGTTCTTGCCCTGCGTTGTTGCTGGTTGCTGCAGGCCAGTAAGATAAACGAGAGACATTGATGATTGATTTGAGAGGAGAGAAGCATGTCCAAGTGCACTGCCCACGTGTAATGGAGCAAAAATGGTTCAACGAATGGTCTACAGTCGGAGCTTTTTGCATATTTCTGCAAACATTGTTGCGCCCATGTGTTGATCACGGGTAACGAGTGAAATCCAGCTCATTATTTTAGGGTCGTGATTGCCACGATGTCATCTATGTGATGATTTGCGTTCGAATTTCATTTTTGAATTATTTTAGGTTGCGATTGTTTGTTTAGAGAGGACTTCCGAGGTTTTGGTTTTAGTGTCCTCATGTTACTGACAGTTGGTTGGGGAGACGCTGTGCCAGTATTGAAGGCTTTTGTATGGACTTGCGTTGGTCATCTGATTGTAGGGTTTTATTGCGCAGAAGAAAGGACACCTCATCAATCTACACCACTCTCTTCCAATACTTAAATGTAATTTTCTGCATGTGAAGGTGACTAAAATGCACGCATTCGAAACGTAGTTTGAAGCTTGCTTTCGAATTTCACTTGAGCACGGTGAAACATAATGTAGATCTGTCCTCGTCTTTGAGTTACTGTCGACGAGACGTTACTGTTAAAATGGTGCCCGCAGATACCCTGCTGCAGAAAATGCCTGAGGAAAACCGATGAAGCACACATATTGAATCGATAACAAGCAGTTCAGCCATTTTATTGTTTTCGGAGCTGGCAAATACTTGGTCAAGAGGTGCCTACATTTCTCTTCAAATCTCTTCGAGAATAAGTCTCCAGACTGTTTCAAATTGCGGGCCTTATTTCTCTCAATTGCAAAGGCAACTTATGTGCTATTCTCACTCATGCAGTATGTGTAGTGATGCAGAGGCGTAGGGAACGTGGTGTACGATGGCTGTGGCTTTTTCGTTTGTTATCTATGAGAGCAAAACTTGGAAACTGCTTCTTACTCGTCCGTGACAAAGCGGTGCTCTTAGTTCTGTTGCTCATCTTTATAACTGGAAGTCAAGCTGGAAGTGAAAGCTTTCAGGATGCTCAAGTACCACCGTGTGCATTACAATTAGATGGCGGCTTAGTCCACTCAGCCATAGAAGTTGGATATCCTGCACAACGTTCCTAAGTTGCACTTACGTTTGTCTGATTAAGAGAAATAGAATATCCCTAATTTGCACGTCGATGACATGGATTATCCTTCTTAAGTTTAGGAATCTTCTCTAATCGACGATGTCTGGGTTGTATGATGAGGTTAAGCTTGTGCATTCAATGGAGAAACTGTTGACAGGAGTGTACGTACAGGTTTAAATGCTGGTGAAATCCTGGTAACTGTGGCTGCACCTGTAGCACGCGGTGAAGCAAACAACGAGCTGCTCGAGTTTAAGGGGAAGGTAACTTACACTCTTCCAATATTGTTAAAAGCTCATTAGAATTTTGTGCAGTAGCAACATTGTGTGCAGCGATGTAATAGTATGCCTTCTTTCTTTGCTTGCTGCTGCCAATTAGCTCAATACTGATATTTTTATATGCACTTAAGCGCTTACTTCAATAGAGTTGGATCTAGTTTTCTTGAGTATTGCAAATTGGGTTTTAATAATGGCCGGCATTCACCAGTCACAGGTGCTGGGACTAAGATCGACAGTAATGGTTTTGCTACGAGGTTATAATAGTAAATCTAAGCTTTTTTTGGTAAAATCCTATACTGACACTCCTGATTTATGTAGAACACAGTGCATTTGCTAAACATGGATGATGTGTCGCAGGTCAATAGTTGTGGATTGAGAATTGGAAAACCTGGTGAAAGACCTCATTGTATAGGAAGCTCCTTGCAGTTATATATGTTGCCTTCAGTATTCATTGATTTTGGTTATTTCTTTATGTACGTGTTGGATGTTATTATACAATACGACTTGAGATTGTCCACGAGATTATAATGTTTTTGAGAAGGAAAAACTAATTCATGAAGAATTCTTGTTGACATTCAGAAAGACATCAGTTTTTTTTAAGGAGTGAAGTTTATCAACTGTGCAACGTTCAATACATTTGTTTAGTCATATGTTTGCAAAAAATACTAGAGTACAACATACACGTAAAACAATTGGGAAAACTGTGACTTGGGAGTGGATTGAATCACATCACAAAACTTTTTTCATTTTGGAGTACTTTCGATGTATTCAATATAATGTTATGGACTTTTAAAAGTAAAAATTTTAAACTTGTCCGAATAAGTATGGAATAGTTCATGCTATGAATTTTTAATTGGCCAAGCTTTGTTATTATATATGTATAATGTATTTTTTGTTTGAAAACAATACAAAACTTCAAATTAGATACAGTAAATTATTAAGATCCAACTTAGGCCTTACACTAAAGGCTACACTAAATGCTAGATTAATAGAAATTTTAATTAATTAATTAATTTAATAAATGACAATTTGAGAAAGATTTTAGATTATTAGATCTGGAATGAATTAGAAAAGAATCGATTATATGGTGAGTAAATAATCTATCTAGCAATGACATTTTAGAATTAAAAATACTTATTTTATTTTTATAAATTGCACCATAAATAAATAATGAAACATTTTCACAAGTTGACTTCTTTTAAACTAATGTATTGGTTGCCAATTAGTATATTATAATACTTGGTATTATATATATTCTAACATAAATTAGTTATTTTTTCTATCAAATATATTTATTATGTATTAAATATAATATAATATAAATATAATATTTTAGCTTGATAATTAAATTTATATATATAACTTATCACATTAAAATAGTAATTATAGTTTTAAATTTTTATTTATACTTACTTGGAGGCACAATTCAAGCTCAATTATTTTAATATATAAAATTATTATTATTATTATAAATATAAACTATAAACTTGGAGGTAAGAATTGTGCTTGAATTTTTAGTTCCAGGTTGAATTATGCCTCCAAGTAAGTATAAATATTTTATTATATCACAATATAATAATTATAGTTTTAAATTAAACTATAATTAAAAATTGAGTCATAAATTGAGTTACTATTTTATGAATATAATCTAGATAAAATTTGCAAAAAGATAAGCATTGGAGAAAATTAACATAATAGTTAAATTTTTGCTTACTAATTAAATAATAGAATTTAGATATTTTTAGTGAAATTATTCCACATCTTTCATCCTCAAAGATTCAAAGAATGCAATGCTTGCAAATAGATTTGAGAAAACAAATAATTTTCATCATTATCAAAATTTAATTGATTTACATAAAATCTAAATTTTGATAATGCCTATAAATCCATATGCCTCAAATACTCAGATATCTATAATTTAGGACAATTTCTACAATAAAAACATCTAGAAAAATATCACTATTTATATGTTATTAAAAAACATTTAATATATATGTGTTATTATGTGTGTATATATATATATATATATATACATGAATAAGTCATGAATAGGATATATACAATGTTGATATATATATATATATATACATGAATAAATCATGAATAGGATATATACAATGTTGATATATATATATATATATATATATATAAAGATATGTTAACACATGCACACAAATTACAAATCAAACCATAATATTTAAGTACTTAATTTTATTAGTGCATCATAATAATACATATAATTTTTTTTAAATATTTTATTATGCTCATGATGTAATTTTTTCTACTTGATGCGACACTAAAAATACACACGCACACACACACACAGATATATATATATATATATATATAGTACTCCTTATAAATAAAATAAAATTAAAAATAATTATTTTGTAACTTTGGTAAATTTAATGGAGTCAATCATAAAATGGGTTGACTAAAACATGGACCACATTGTATGTAACATTCAAGTCTAATTTACTTGCTGAATAATAATCAATGATTATAATTGATTTAACTTCTTTGATGGTCTTTTCTTTGATAATTCTAAATTTGGCTAGCTTTATTTGAAAAAAGGATATATGCAAGTGCTACCAATCTTGTTATTTTTATGTTCCAACAGAATATAAATAAACAATTAAATAAACCTTCCACCATTGAACTCTACTTTTGTAAATTCATTACATACAATAACAATCAATTCAATTAACAGTCAAAGTTACCAAGTCTAGAATCAACTACAAAATACATTTTGTATTGAAGAGAATCAGAAGAACCAGTTGCATACTGTGATTGTAGCACCCAAAGCATGCAATATTGGACAAAGACATCAATCACAACATGATGGTGGACATGGCAGAATGCAATTTGAACATAAGATGCAAATTAGGCAAGATGCAAATCAACACAGAAAGTGTATCTGACAGGTGTTGAAGACACTTACAACAAGAGTCTAAACTTGGGGAACTCAAAAAACATGTTCCAAAAGCCCATGTCTTGGCAATTGAACCTTATTTTCCATCCCAAGGTCTTGTAGCCACTGCTACATCCCAGTGATCAAAACAGAAACTTTTTCCCTGGTCAAATGCATAGTATTATATAGATGAGAATATTTGCAGCCACTAGACTAGGCGAAGCAAGAGTGCAGAATAATCTACTCGTTGTGGGGCGCAGCAGCGACGTGGGCACTGGAGCTGCAGCCAGGCTGATTCCAGAAACCGAAACAACTAAAAGAAGCCATCTATGCAATAACGACACTTAGCAGAAGTACAACAAAGATGCCGAAAGGCTCTGACACACAGAGTTGGACGCTTCGGACATGGAGCACACGTATATGTCAAATGCATGAGCTCAGCTACGATACCTCTGGTCGGGATTTATCCAGTGAGCTGATGAGTAAACAAGTGCAGTTCCTGAGAGAAGAGATGGTGAAAAATAGGAATTTATCTTGGATTACAAGCATACAACTGTACAAGTTGGTCATGGGAAAAGGGTGTAATCTGCAGAACTTTCTTTCAAGATGTAAGGCGAGCAGAAGCATGAACTACAACTTTTATACTGTACAACGGTAAAAAAAAAAAATAGCCTTTAACACCTTATTGTAACGAATAGCATTGGATTCCTCCATTGTTCGAGGAATCCAAGGCTACAGTTAATGGAGTCGAAGAGGCCAGGGGCTGAAACCACGAGAATTGTGAAGGGGCTAGTTCTTCGGTCTCCACCGTGTTCTTCCCCGTACTATTTCAGTTCCATCACTCTCCATACGCAGCAAGTGTACAAATCGCAAGTCGCCTGCATCTGTGTCTTTGATCTCATGCATCCTCGTCGGCGGCGCTGTTGCGTGAGGGAAGCCATTCGAGGTCCCCTTAGATCCCGTGCTCGAGGCTCCGTTACATTCCCCGTTAGATGGCCCATTGGACTCCGAGGAGGAGGCTGTGCCCTGAGACTGGTCCGAGGTGGAAGACTCAAGACTGGTCAGGGATTGAACCATATCAGACTGTCCACATTCTCGCCTGTACTCTAGCGTCATGGTAGCCAATTCATACCTATCCAACACGGCAGGCGGAACAGTCTGCACACAAGCAGACTCACTCAGCGTCGACATTTATCATCATTCACGAAGATGGTGATGGTCAGAGAAAATTAACAGTTGAACACAAGTGGAAAGGTATTGATAACTTGGTGTATGCTCACCTCCAACATCCAACCAATGTACTTCACATTATTCACATGCTGGTTCATGTCCAAATCACTGCGTCTCGGCTGTGCCACAAACACGGAGAAACATGCAGGGCTCATCAAAACTTTGGTGCTTTCAATGGCAATACAGCTAGAGTGAGTATAATCCCACGGGAGACGCATGTAAAATGAGATAAAAAAATTAAAAAATAAAAAGCCAAAGCTCAGGCACAGGAAGGAAGGAAAATATTCGCACCATTAGGCCTGAGTGGACATATTCGGCAGAGCCATTGATCTTGGAGATCCTCTGCGTTACTTCACTCTGGTCATTCATCGCGGATCTCTCATGAAAATGGGGAGAGATCTCGGCCCTTACTTCCTCAGGCATCTTGGAAAGCTTCCTTGTTTCTTTGTTCATTGTCACCCATGTGCTGCAATAACGACGTTGCACCTTCAGCTAATGATTTAACCGCACCTGCTCCAGTGATTTGCTTGTATAAATTTGATTCAAGAACAATTTATGTACGTGTGGGAACAATGTACCTGGTAGCTCGAGCTAAAATCTGTCCTGTTTTCAGATCTCGGACAAGCCAATCTCGACGCATTCCATTCTTCTTAGAGGCTCCCACCCATGTGTCCATCTCAACGACATTCCCCCTGTTCACATAAATAGCCCCAATCAGTGTCATAAACTCTGAGTACCCAGCTTGGTTACGAAACGATATAGTAGGAAACTCCGACCACTGCATTGCATGCTTTGCTTAATAACCCTGGAGATTCTCTGAGAATCGACACATCAAAGCGAGCATCCTGCCACATGAAGAGCGTACCAAACAGGATATTGCTCAACGTGAACTTGCATCCGAGTGACGACCCAGATCAGATTATTTCTTGACATCGCGTGTGTTGCACCGAAGCCATCTCCCGCAAGACCCGACATCCATACGTGATTCAAGGCAGTCTCCTGCGTAACGCCCGAAACGCACCACGCGACACGGAATTAATACTTGATCAACAAGTCAACAGTCTCGTTCAGTGTTATCACGAGGCTGAATTCTCTGCCACATTCTACAGAGAGGTATTGCATGAGCCTTGACATTCATGAATTCAACAGCTGACAACTTGCTAGAATGTCGGTGCAGACGGACCAAAGGTGGTTAGATACCTGGAAATGGTTCATCATAGCCTCAATAGATGCGGTTCTATCAGCTCCAATCTCATACGAGCGAATCACGAACGTTTGCCGATACACTAGCCTGCTCTCCACAAGACGCCCTTGTCGAAGGGCGTCCAAGGGAACTTCGGTCTTTTCGCGACGTCTCTGCTTCTCTGCCGCAAGTGCCACACTGGCAATGGCAGCCAGGATCACCCTAAACACTGCGCTGTCTTTCTCCGATTGAAAAGGTGGCACGACTCTTGAGAGCGCCTCGCTTATATCCTCCGTCCTATTCCCGCCAGTGAAGGCGCCATTCCCCGTTGCTATGGTAGCATTGACACGTCTCGCTGCACACCACCCTGCAGAAGTCTTGCGAGGGAATTGTCTCACTGAGCTCGATTTGAGTAAATGAAACGTAGTTCCGAGTGAGATCTTCAACAAGGACGAGCGAGCTTCAAGGCAGCAATTCTGACAGGAGGTAGACACTGTAGTACCTCCGCACATCCCCAATTCCATCCTGCCAAAGTAGTTGCCCCTACCCAAACCTGCTCCAGCGACAATCCCCATCGATTCTAACGCCTTTATTTCATATGCAAGGCGGAGTGATCTTCGCTTCGCTCAAAGATCCACTTCGCCTTCAGAGCTCAGATCTACGCACCCGCAACGCTTCCACTCCCGATCCCATCCAGCTGCATCTTTTCACCTCCCGCGAAACACTATTCGGTGATCGCACTCTACAATGTCAAGGCACGCTCACCATTCTTCACACAGAGGGGAAAAAAAACAAACAAAACAAAATAAACAACAACAACAACAACATGAAACCTACATTCAACTCAACGCCACCATGTGATGATGGAACAAACTGAACCAACGATTCACTCGTCACTACAGACTCCAGTCCTCCCTGCTAAACAATCAACCAATCTCCCCATGTTGGACCATCACCACCACTGTGCTCAAGTTCCAGCATCAAAAACCAACACATCCAGAGCCGACCATCCAGGCCACGCGCCTCTGCAACTAAGAGGAGAGGAATCTGGCGAAGGAGGAGTTGAGCTCGTAACGTGTTGAATCTGCAAGAAGCGCGAAGGAGGTGGATGGGAGGAGGAGGATGCGCGAACTACGAGAGCAGCCCGCCGGAAACATAGCCGACGCCATACTCCTGTGCCGCAGTAGCAACATGTGGTGACAGCTGCACCATTTCAAGGACTGAACTTGAGAATGGGGCCAAAACCCACAACAACAACCACAACTACCGAACTGTAAATCGGACGTCAGAAAAGTAAAAAGCCAGGAAGAAAACGACAAAAACCCAAAACTGGAACACTCTACCTCCTTCATTCACTCACTCACTTGTTCACCCATTAATTCACTCCTTTCTGTTTTGTCTTTTCCCTACTCCTCCTCCTCTTCCTCCTCTTCCTCCTCTTGCTGACCTGGTCCCACCTGAAGCCAACAACAATACTGCATCGTCTGCGTCTTCGTCGGCATTGTCATGGTCGTTGTCGTGGTGGTCAAGGATGGCGATGTGCCAGGCTTGCAAACTGGGCCATGCATGGCTCTGCCTTGATGTGCCGTGCCATTGCCTGCCCTGCAACAGTGCATGCTCCTCTCCTCTACTCTTCCTCTTTTGCCTTCCATTGCATCTCTTCTACCTCACGCCGCACCGCTTCTTCTTCGTCTTCTTCCTCCTCTGTCGGTATTTTCTTCGAGTGTTTGTGAGCATGGGCGTCACTTCCCCAACACTTGTTTGTTTGATTGCTTGATGTTTATTCTCTTCATTGTTCTGTGAGAATTTAAAATGTCTTTCTTTAATTAAAAAAAATGTTAAAATAGACCCAGGTTTTAACTAAATTTACAACTTCTTCAATTTACAACTATTAATTGATCTTATTCCTATTTTGTATGAATAAAATGTAATACAAGGTTCTTGTTTTAATCAGCTTTCCAAGCCAACAATGTGGTTTAGAATCTATAAGATTCTTCAATTTATTTTTGGAACTATTTGTCTTAGGGCTGATTCACACTATGGCCATTTAGTTGAGCATTTTTTACCAAAGCATTCATTTACCCTTTGCCTCTAGTATGAAGGCCAAGTAGTCAATCTTTTCTTTCTCCACCATTCATATTGTTGAAATCCTTTGTCCACTAAACAATTGGCCTTAGTGTGAAGTGGCCCTTACCCTTGTTAAGAATAATTGTTCTAGCCAAGATAGACAAATGGTCAAGAAAAGCACATTGTTGAAGCAAATAAGAATCTGAACAAGTTTTTTTTTTTTTTTTTTTTTTTTTTTTGATAGGGACAAATCCAATGCTTGGGATGCAATTGATTTCACACTTCATTCTAGTTTGAAAAATGACTGTTGGCTGCTGTAATGTGAAAACGGCTTGAATTTGAGCGTTTTTGGCATTAAAAACTCGTCTCAACTGTCCCTTGTGCAAATTTGAGCTCTGAAGGCTTCAATCAGTTGAGTAGACAAAAATTCCCTTATTGGGATGTCTGTCTTGTCAGTGTGCATGGCTATCATCAATACCACTTTTGCATATTGGTTCCACATTGAGTTGTTCATGTGCTGTTGTAGATCACTTGTTTTATTTGCTTTTCTTTCCTCCTTGTTCTAGTTCTGCTAAGTGAAGTGATAAATTTGGGTCAAAGTCAATTAGATTTGGAGATGTTCTGATCCATAGTCACCTCACTTGGAATTTATCCTTCTTTACTAGTATTGTTTTTAATTATTCCTGTGTGTGTGTGTGTGTGTGTTGGTGTGTGTTTAGTTTCTTGGCTCTAGGTTATTCTTTTATTCCCAAAAATGGTTTACATTTGTAAAATGAACTTCTCTTGGTTTTCTTTTTCTTTTCATGTCCGTTTCTTTTTCTTCCGGGCAATCGTTTTTAATAATCAATGATTGCAAAGGATAAAAAATTATAGTTTTTTTTTTTTTTTTTTTTTTTTTTTTTTCCTCCTTTTTCTCTTTATGTTCTTTTTGTGATATTAATTTACCATTCTAACATGGTCATTAAGTAACTAACATTTTCTTTTCTTTTTGCACTCAATGTAATATCAAGTACACACAAATTGTACAAATGCTTTAAATTGGTTTATGACATCAAACATTTTTCACTACAACCATTTTGATTCCAACATTTCCTTTCACTCACATTATACGCACAATGTCACACCATCACTCTATAACAAAACTCTCTTGCAAAATTGATTCAATTGTCCAAATCTACATAAACTATTTATGCACACACTCCCACAACAAAATGTAATATTCTCACTTCCAACTAATACCACCGGTTCCAGTTCCATAATCACAAAATGACACACATTCCAATTCATTAAGAACAATACCTCCAATTTTGGGTGCAGAGAAAATGTAGTCAAGGCAACAAGCACTGAAGGGAATGGGGTCAAAGGAAGAATGGATCCAAGCAAGAGGGAGTCACTCATTACTATGCAACCCACACAAGGAAACCCTGAAACAAAGCAAAGCAAGGGACAAGAGCATTGTAGAAGAAGCCACAAGCTCTGCTTGCTTGCTTGCTTGCCTCGTTCATCGTCGTCGTCGTCGTTGTCGATCCATAGTTGGGTTGCAGGGTTGTTTGCAAGTGTGGTGTTGGGCGCGGAGGATGAGTGAGTATGGGAGGCGAGCGGTGTCGGATGATTATCAACTGGGGCAAGTTTTAGGAACTGGGGGGTTTTCGGTGGTGCGGATCGGTGTTCGCAAGGAGGACAGGCTCCAGGTTGCGATCAAGACACTGAAGAAGTATGGCTATGGAACGGGAAAAGGGAAAAGGAAAGGGAAGGGCCACGCGGGTTCAGAGGCGAGGATGTGGCAAGCGGAGGCTCTCGTGACGAACGAGATTCTAGTGATGATGCGCATCGTCGACTATGTGTCGCCGCATCCGAACATAATTCATCTGTTAGATGTGTACGAAGACGACGACGCGGTGCATTTGGTTTTAGAGCTGTGCAGGGGAGGTGAGCTCTTTGATCGCATTGTGGAACAGGAGCGGTACTCCGAGAGAGATGCTGCGACTGTGGTGGGGCAGATTGCGGCAGGACTTGCCGCGCTGCATCACTGTGGAATTGTGCACCGAGACCTTAAGCCTGAGAATTGTTTGTATGCGGATCCGCATCCAGAAGCTCCGCTCAAGATCATGGACTTCGGTTTGAGTCACATTCACAATGTGACAAATGCCGTTGTGGGAGTCTTTGGCTCCATGGATTACATGGCCCCTGAGCAACTCAACATGTCCGGAACGATGCCTGCCAATGACAGGTGGTCGCTCGGCGTCATCCTTTATATTCTTCTCTGCGGGTACGTTCAGCAAATCAGAGTAGGTCCTAATCCGCAAATTTCATTTTGAATGTGTCAAGCATAGGTGCGCTTTCAATTTTTGTATGTACACATGCCTTTCAATGTTTCGTCTTTAGTGTTGCTGGAGAGTATGAACTCACTTCATTCTCGAGCTTACAATGTCCAATGCAACTCCATCCAGTTGAATCCCTGCATTTGAAGTTTTCGGCCTCAACTGTGCAGGTATCCACCATTTCGTGCTAAGACTACTCGGGACAAGCAAAGACGGATCCTAACGGTGACTGTTCATCCCCACCTATGCTACTGTTGTGTGCAGATGTGAGAGTAGAGAAACCCAACTGCTATCTTAGGAGTTCTCTGTAATATTTCTCGTTGGCATTCTGCGAAATCTCCAGGGGGCATATAGTATGGAAGAAGAAAGTTGGGGATGCATCTCTTTGGAAGCTAAGGAGCTCATCAGGGGACTGTTGTCGGTAGATCCGTTTGTTCGTCCTTCTGCTGCGGAGGTATCTTAGATGAACCCAAACCCTACTTTCTCGTGCCACTCTTTGAAGATCACTGCCATTTAACTTTGTCCAGTCAACAAACCTCGAATAGATGACTACATGCTCTTCGAACACGGAGCACTTCTAGCATTTATTTTTAGTTTTGTTTTTGTTTTTCCCCTTTTGATTTTCGGAGGGCTTTAGAGGAGGTAAAGATGTTTACCAAAGTGGGACAGAGATTTTCTAATAGGGCGGAATCAATTGTGGATGCATAGTTATTGTCACACCCATGGGTGTCAGGTGAGTCAGCAACAAGGGAGCTGATCCACGAAGCTGTATTCATACGTTTCCAAGCTTTCAATGCTCGACGCAAGTTTCGCGCTGCAGCCTATGCCAGCATTGTTAGAACCAAGTTTCAGCTGCGAACCAAATATTTGAAGGAGCTTATTGGAGATTGTATTCTTACTGGTGCTGAGTTGGAAGATTTGTGAGCTAATTTTGTTCGTATGTACGTGTTGGGCTGAAAAAGAATTCAGGTCTTTGTGTTATGATTCCTTGTTCCGTTCGGGTGAATTCTCATTTATGCTTCTACTCATACTGCAGCACATCAAATGGACGGACCGCTACCCTTGAAGAATTTCAGCACATTTTGTGCTCAATGGACTTGCAGGGCCTGATGCCACTTGTTTCTCGCATCTTTGAACTGTTTGATAGCAACCACGATGGCTGGATAGATTTGCGTGAAGTAATGTGTGGATTCTCTCTTTTGCGAACCTCACACGCGGGGGAGGTCTTAAGATTATGCTCCAGGGTGAGGTTCTGCCCTTTTTTTCAATTACAATCCACTGCGATTGAATCATGGGTTGTTTTCAACCTAGTTGTAGCTGGCATTACAAGTACGACCCGAGTGTGCAGAATACTTTTCTGATGCTTTTAAAAAAATTGAAATTGTTCGAATCTTACTACTTAGCATTTAACCTGTGATGGTGAGTGCAGATGTATGACTACGATGATTCGGGCTACATTTCAAAGGACGAACTCGCTCTTGTTCTTGGAGTATGTTTTAGGAAGTCGATATTCATTGCTTAGAACTCCTTTTGATTATGTTGTAGTAACTCAACCTTTGTAGCTCTAGTAATGTAGTCTTTGTGCTCACAGTGAGATGCAGATTTTTCCTCCTTCTGATGAGTTACTGTTTGCTGTTTATTTTTGTGCACTGAGGTGATAGCAAGGCATCTTGGATATATGGTATAGATGTTTCACTATGCATATGCTTTCATTTTTTTAAAGAAACCATTCATGTTAAAGCATTTACAGAATTAATCAAGTCTTCGAAGAAATCCACTTAATCTATGTAAATGTCGGAGAGAAATTTTCACGCTTGTATTAACAGAATGGGGCATCCTCAAATACCTTGAAAAAACACATCAACCCATTGATTGGTTTAATTTGTTGAGCAGGCATTACCAGAAGACTACTTGCCACCAGATATCAGTGAAGTGGGAATGGACGAGATATTTGAGCATATTGATACCGACTGTGATGGCCGCATCAGCTATCAAGAATTCGAGCAAGCTCTCTGTTTACAGGACGCTATCATGAATAAATTCCGCATCCCAGAGAACAGAGAGGTGAACTGACTATAGCCTGCTCAAAATATGCAGTCATATTGAATATGACTGAACAAATGTGAATTACCTGAACATACAATTTTTGGTGCACCTGCACAAAATTTGGTAGACATTTGAATGTCATGAAAAAGGTTTGCTGCCTAAACTTATCGTAACTGGATAAATTTCGAAAGTCCTGCAATGTACAGAACGTCAAATAATCTGTCTGAATCAACTTAACTTTATGCCTAACTTCGGACACGAAGATTGCACTCGGCCTATTGATTTGGGAGTGTTAGGCATTTCATAGAAATATATGGCAGCTGGGTATATTTCAACGAGGCAGAAATCTGAGTTTTTGGCCACTAAATTGTCAGCTAACAATTGAGCTAAGTACTGGTCCAATGCATGTCCGTAAACTTCGCCTTGTTTGCGAATCTCACATAAATGGTAGAGTATTGTCGTCACCATACTCCAAATATGATTGGATTTGTGAGATGGCAGTTGTGGAAGAGAGGGATTCCTGAACTCTTCTTTATTTTTTATTCTTAAATTGCATTATTTTGAGTAAATCTATGTCATGGTTGACAGTTTCCAATCACAAAGGAGGTGTTGAAAGAACTTGTAGAAAAAAATTTGAAGGATATCTAAAGACAATAAGTCTTGAAATTCCTTGAAGGTTTAAAATAAAATAAAATAAAAATGCCAAATCTCATAAATATATCATAAAAAATGTACTTATTTTTCTTCATAAAATCGTCAGAAAGCAAGTTTTGATTAAACACTCACTTTTTTGATGTTCAAACTACACAAAGATTTTTATGCATCTTAATGTTATTGTGAGCTTTGAAAAATTGTATGTTATGAACTATAATATGTAATATTTTTGTATTTTTAAAAGTAATTTAGTCACAAAATAGCAAGATACACATCTAACATAGGTATTGAAGATTACCAAAAACCAAAGGAGAGTGTTAGTTTAATGATTATAAAAATTAAGAATTTACATAATTTTTTGATACTTAAAAATGTTAAATGCTTTTTCATTTAGCAATATTCGAGGACAATAATATGTGATAAAAAATAATCATTTTTAATTTATTAAAATTGATTTTTAATGTTTTAAGTATATCACCATTGAATATCTTTATTAGTATCTATGCAAAGCACAAATAGTCATAATTAATTAATTAATTTAATTTGAAATTTAAAAGTATAAATAAAAGATTCAAAATTTACGTAGTGTAGAAGATGAGTTATTTCATTAGCAAATTTTTTTATATACAAAAATTGACCAATAAAAAATAGAAACAAAATTTCAAATTTTACATAAACTAAAATTTAAGGAATCTATGTGTTTTGTATATTCTTCATAACTTTGGTAGTGTCTTTGAAAAATGTTATGTCTCTTGACATCTCTAATGTACTATAAGAAACTTAAACAGATTGTTAAAAATATATATTTTTTAATTGATGTATTTTACAAAAATATATTATAACTCCTTCACATCTAAAATAAGGTTGTTAAGAAATTTGAGTCTTGAAGGTTGTTTGAACTAAATTTCAAATATTCAAAAAGAATTTTTGAAAATTTTAAAACAGTTTTTAAAATGATTCTTTGGTCTATCCAAAAAAAACTTGATCATAAATCCTTCTTCCACAATTTAAAGGATGTTGGAGTATCACATTTAAAATATCTAAAATATCTAAAATAAATAGTTTCTTAATATTATAAAATTATTTTTAGAACGTGGTTACAAGTTAATAGAATAATATTATAAAAGCCAT